TAAAAAAAAAAAAAAAAAAAAAGAAAGAAAGAAAGAAAATAGAAAATAAGAAAACAAAATAGGTCTAAGGGAGAAAGTACGTCCTCTCGCTACTAAATATCCATCACTCCTGCCCTCAAGGCCGTTGCAAATGGCCCTGGGGTAGCAGGCTGGTGAGAGCGGGGTCACAACCTGGCTCCGGCCACTCCCCTCCCCCACTCGGAGCCCTACCCCGTGGAAACGACGTCCCTCAGAGCTTCCCGGCTGCTCAGCGGGGCCTTACCTCGATGTTGCCAACGGTGCGGGCACAACCCACCACCTTCAGTCCCTGCTGGACTAATGCCCGGGCCACGGCCGCGCCTATGCCCCCCGAGGCTCCCGTCACCAGTGCCAGCCGGTCGCGCCACCGCTCCATGCCGGCTCTGGCCATGGTCCCGAGCCGTCCGCCCACCCCGTTCGGTGAGCCAGGCACTGAGATCACTGAGCTCGGCCGCTCCCTGGTCACTGCTGGGGCGGGCGCGGGCAACCTGCAAACGTCGGAGCAGCGCCTAGTCCCACCCCCATGCGGGCCGGCCTCCGGCCGGGGCTCCGCCCTCGGGACCTCGGCACCCGGCCACTTCGCGCCCGAGGACCGCCGCGGCCTGGCCGCCGTGTCTCTCGAGCGGCCAAGGGGCCGCCCCTTCCGGCCACGCCCCCGCGCGAGTCCGCCCCTCCCGTGGCTGACGGAAACCGCGGCGTTTCAGGTGTGGGCCCACCAGCGCGAGAGGGGTTCTTGACAGTCTCCGGTCTTGCTTTCTTGGTGAGCGCCTCCTTTTGTAGTGGAAGGAGAAAGAGGATGCATGTATGCAAGGCTTCCTTTGCTCAATCAGCTCCATTTCCAGAGGCCTGAGGCCAGGGTGAGGGACCTAAAGGTTACTCCAGTGCCCTTCCAAACCCGAGTGACTTGATAGCAAGGACTCAGTTCAGAAAAGCTTGTGTTTCCGCCATTAAGACCAGGTGACCTGAGGAAGGGCTTTTAGGCACAGTACAGGGTCCTGTCTTTTGGCCTTACTAATCAAGAACTAATTTGGTTAAAATACCTAAGTATGTTGGGTTCTGCTCCTAACAGGCCCCATGTTCTCCATCTGCCCTTGACAGCACCCTCCCCAGTCCTACTTGGACGCAATGTTATACGATGTACTTCAGTGATCACTGGCAAAAACTGACAATTTGAACACCATGTAGCAAGCAAATTTACAAACTTTAAACAACATGTACAATATGCCCTATAAGATTTTGTTTTGTTTTTTCCTCGTGCAGGCGACTCAACACAGGGCCTCACACTTGTTGTAGGGAGCATCGACCCTACCACAAGGCCTGGTAGCATAAGCCAGCACTATGGAAGGCAGAGGCAGGTGAATCAGTTCAAGGCCGTCTTTTACTACACAGGGAGCTCCAGGCCAGCTGGAACATGAGACCTTTTAACAAAAAGCAAAACAATGACTGTACAGGCACATAGCTGTGTGATGGTATGACCTGCAGCCCTGTCCTAGGCCAGGAATGTGCCCAATTGTCTTTACTTCATTCTCCATTATCGGGTTGTCAGTTTTGTTCAGAGTAGGGTTCACTTTATTCTCTAGCTATTCAGTAAAACTGCCTAATGTCGCTGCCCCCGAGTGGTGGTGGCGCCTTTAATCCTTGCACCAGGAGGCAGAGGTAGATAGATCTCCGAGTTCAAGGCCAGCCTGATCTACAGAGTAAGTTCCCGGACAGCCAGGGCTACTTGCAGAGAAACTGTCTTCAAAAAACAAAATCCTGTCCATCTACCTTATTCATATTTATTTATGGTTGCAGGAGTTGGACCTCTAGTCCAGAGAGACTACCACACAGTCACACAAACCATGCCTTTGCACCCCTTATAATACCAGCACCAGGAAGGCTGAGGCATGATTATAAATCACATTCTGGGCTAGTAAGACCCTGATTTAATTTTTTTTTTTAAATTCACTTAGGGCTGGAGAGATAGCTCAGAAAAGCACCGATTCAATTCCCAGCATCCATATGGCAGCTCACAACTGTAACTCTAGTTCCAGGGGATCTAAATCTAACATCTTCACACAAACATACATGCAAGTGAAAACACCAATGCACTTTTTAAGAAAAAATACAATTTCACTCGACAAGCACCCATTTGGCTACTATTTTTTATATGGTCACAAGGGCAAAACTGTTGCTTTTGGGAATTTCATGTAGCCAGGGGTGTAACTCAGTTGGCAGTGAATGTCTAGTAAAAAAAAAAAAAAAAAAAATTGGCTTAGCTAAGAGTATCTTTCCAGAGTTGTTTGGGTATGTTGCTCAGCTACATACAACCAATTTTAAAGACAACTCAGAAGGTTGACCAAAGAAATGCCATCAACGACCCAGGATATACCATGGAGGCAGCTAAGGTTAAGAGAATCATCTCTAGTTCAAGGCCAGCCTGAGCTGCATAATGAAGCCCAAACAAAAGATGCCTACAATGAAAACTACACCAAGCATGACTGTTATGCCCTTGAAATCTAATTCAATGGTAGGAAGCCCCCAGGATTCACTCTGGCCCCCACTACTCAGATGTGATGTCCTACTACTTTTGTCTGGGGGCCACCAAGTATTATCAACACATAAGCACAAAACCCTAATTATGCATTTGTGGTGCTATTCAAGCTTTTGTTTGTTGTGTGCCAACTGCATTTATATGCAAGTGCCAGACGTGTGTGTACAGGCCAGAGGAAATTGGTATAATTCCTCAGTAACACTGTCCACTTTTTTTTTAAGATTTTATGTATTAAGTATGCAGTGTTCTGGCAGAAGAGGCACTAGATCCCATTATAGATGGTTGTGAATCACCATGTGGTTGGTGGGAATTGAACTCAGGACCTCTGGAAGAGCAGCCAGTGCTCTTAACCTCTGAGCCATCTCTCCAGCCCGCACTGTCCACTTTTCTAAGTACGTTTATGACAGGTGTGGTGGCACACACTCCTCCCAGAATTTGAGACAGACAGACAGATGCAGACAGACCTCTATGAGTTTGAGACCCATCTGCTCTACATGGCAAGTCTTAAAACAAAAACCAGTAGATTTACATTTATTGGTGGGGGACATGCAGACCACATGTGAGGGTTCCAGGAATCAGACTCAGTTCTGAGACCTGGTGGCAAGCACCTTCTTACCACTGCCATCACCTTACTGACCCCACCTCCTATGAGACAGGGCCTCTCACTGGCCTGGAGCACGAGTCCAGTTGGACAGCAAGCCAGTAAGAGAAATTCAGGGATAGGTCTCTAATGCCCAGCACTGTTTTTTTTTTCCTTTTGTTAAAAACAATTTACTTTTTAGACAGTTTCATACAGTATATAACAAATTTAGTCCCTTTCTCTTTACCCATTTACCCAGTTTCATCATTTACATAGTCTCTCCTCTTTTTAGTGTTCTGGGGATAAAACTTTTTTTTGGGGGGGGGGGTTTGACAGAGTTTCTCTGTATATCCGTGGCTGTCTTGAAACTCACTCTTTAGACTAGGCTGGCCTCAAACTCAAGGGATCCGCCTCCATCTGCCTCCCCAGTGCTAGGATTAAAAGCATGTGCCACCACCTCCCTGCTGGAACTTAGGTTCTTAGAAGCATCTTACTGTCATCTCCCCATCACCAATTTGACCCATCATAGCAGCAAAATGCTACTCCTGGGAACCTTTCCCTATCAGTACTCAGCTTGTGACAGCAGTGAACTTTAAAGCCATACCAAGTTCATGGGTGGAAAACCAGTAAGGCTGAGTACAAAAACCAATGTGGTCAGCTCTCATGAATCCTTCCCTGGTCACACAGTCTTAGAGGATGAATAGTTACCAACATTTTGTTTTCATTCTTTTAGGGCAATATGAGCCTCTGAATTTAAGGTGTTTCTGTTACCTCTTTGGGAACATCTAGTGTAGCAATTCAAGTTTCATGAGAAAGGAAGATGCTAGCCAGTATTTAAGCCATTTATTCTTTAAGAACAAGACTAGAAACTGCTTTACTCAGTTGTCAAGTTTCACCAGAGGAAGAATGCTGTCGTGAACAGTCTGCATCTCTATCTTAATTTGCTCTTCATGATCTCTCCATCAATACAGGCCAAGTACAAAGTTCACAAGTGGCAAATACTAAAGCACCACCACACTGAGTAGAAACATGTACACCACATTCTACTATGCGTATTAATAAATACTCTTTATTTTAAATTTTGCACATTGCCTTTAACATTGCGTCCAGACACTTTGCAAGTGGATGTCTACTGTAAACCATATATCCAGCTCACTGTCATTTCTGTACAGAGGTGTAAGTACAACATTACTTTTGCCACTAAGTTGCTTTAGTAAGTCTCACAGGAAGAGAAACGTTTAATGAAGAGATGGCTTAAATCATAAGCAGGCCTGCGCAGCCACGCAACTAAAGACACAAGCCTGAAGAAAGAACAAATGAATGAGGTTACCTCCACCGTCTCCCAAAACAAGGAATCACATTGATTTAAGATAAAATTTTGCCAGAAGTCACTAAATTAAGAGTTTTTTTTAAAAGAGAAGGCGCAGTAGTCATCTTGTGTGTTTCATTGAAAGACAGAGCTATTTTATTTATTTAATTTGCTCCAGCCGTTGTCAACCAGCCACTACAAATGGGCCTCTTGTGGTCATTTAAGCGGCAGTATTTATTAAATTTCTCCTTCAGATGCTGTCGGTATTGTTCTCTATTGCTGTAGAAAGACTGGTTATTAGCCATAAATGACTGTATTTCATCTTGTGAGATAAAGATTTCCTCATCTGAAGTACATTCAGACTCATCCTGCAAATTAAAGCAGCAGTTAAGACCATGACAAAAAATGCAAAATGCTGTACTTGGTGGGGCAACTACAAATTAAAGCGGGCTACCTTTAGTCCCAACCCAGTCACGTGATCTCTGATTGGAATGCTTACGAAATAAGCATCATGGCATCCCATTTTTGAAATTCAGCTTGGTTTGAAACACTATCTACAATTACTCCTTATATACCTATGAGCCTACTTGACTATCACCGTATCTTCTGCCTTTAAAAACAACTAGATAGAAAGAAATGGATGCAACTAATTTAACCAATATTTAAATAACCAGACTTATCTCTAGCTGATCCTATGTTGAAACTTTTATCTCTATACATTAAGTAAAAGACTTTTCTTTCTTTTTTTTTTTTTTTTTTTTGGTTTTTTGAGACAGGGTTTCTCTGTAGCTTTAGAACCTGTCCTAGAACTTGCTTTGTAGACCAGGCTGGCCTCAAACTCACAGAAATCCACCTGCCCCTGCCTCCCAAGTACTGGGATGAAAGGCATGTGCCACCACTGCCAGGCCTAAGTAAAAGATTTTTATCTCTACAAATTAAGATAACATTTTTTTTTACTTAAAAAGTATGTTATATAGAATCACCACTAAACTTTACAACATATACAAAAATAAAACAAGCAACAATAGAATCCTTAATATTCCAAATGACAGTTCCACCAGGACTTAATAATGGAAGGGATAGC